ACTACCAATGGCACGGGGGCACATCAAGGGAGGATTCCACATACACCCCCCTGCTCCGGCGCCCAGAGCACCCTCTCACCCCGCTGCTGACTGACCCTGGTGTCTGCAGAGCTGTTGCTCTCATATTCTCACTGCTCTTTCCAGCTGCAATTGCTTCTGTGCAGTATCTTTCCCCCCTTCTCAAATACATATGCTACCACCATCGCTGATGGGTTCAGCCTTGGCCATTGCTGGGGTCATCCTGGAGCTGGCTGGCATTGGCTCTACTGGACATGGGGAACCTTCTGGCAGCTTTTCACAGAAACCATCCCTGTAGGCCTGCTGCTACCAAAACCTTGCCATGCAAACACAACACTCATCCAGATCAATTAGAAACCAGCACGCACCGTCTCCCTTCTTTTTTCCAGTCTCTTCTTTCTTCTCCCTTCTCCTTTTCCAGTCTCCAAGTGATTTCACTTACTGAATCTGTCAAAGCCAAACAGGTATTTGAAGTCTCGTTTGCAGGCAGAATGGCCAAAAAAAAAAAATAAAGTATCTCTTTAGAGGGCTGCAAAGCTTTTCAGAGTAGTCCCCACATTAAACATGTTTCCGGGAAGCCTGTCCCATTGCCAGCCCGCCTGACAACATCCCACTGTCTGCTCGCCGTCTGTCTACAATGACGGTTCAGTTCAAGAGCACTCCTGAAACGCATCTCCCATCTGTCCCTGCTTACTGCATGTGGCCTAGTGACACGAGCCAGTCTTGGATCACACTGACTAGATTCCTTTCAGAGGCAGTTAAACAGGATGGTCAATGCTTCACCCACTTCCATCCTTTCAACCAAGACACAGGCTGTGGGGGTGGTAGCTCACGCGATGCTCCCTAAGACAGTTCTGACTCTCCCGGGGAAGAGGGAATGAATGCTCATTAATGCTCTCAGGACCAAGGGAGGGGACCCCAGCCCTTCCCCGGGGCTGGCAGGAGGCACAGGCTCATGTTGAGACACATTCTTGAGGCAGAGCAGGAGTTGATGCAGCTCAGCAAACAGCTGGGACTGCCGGAGCAAGGACAGCACCGGGCAGGTAGAGGGCGTGAGCATTTCAAAGCACTCTGTTTCTGTTATGCTGCTTCTAATAACCAAAGCACTTAAAAATGCATGTCAGTACTTACTGTCAGATTAATTTATTAGCAGAAAACATGTTTTGCTGTAAGGCAGACAATTAACAGAGAACTTTTGTTCTGTCAAGAGGCCAAATTATTACCGCTAGTTAATACCTACAATTAAAATGACTGCTCTGAAATGAATGGAATAGACCCAAAATGCATATGGGAATTTCATACAATATATAAAATATATAACTTTTACATTTCTTGATTTTAAATGCACTGTAGTTTTAATGTAAGAAACAAACATCTTAGGAGTTCATTTGCAACATAAGCACTGCAGGAGATGTCCCATCTTCCGTGGCTCTCCCTGGCAAGCAGATGACAGGCACAGCAGCACCTATAGAGTCCAGGGGCTGAAAGAGAAACCCCACTCACATTGTTCCTGTTGGCCAGGATAAAGACCCTACTTTGTAACCCCAGTCAGAATTAAAGTAGGGTTATAGTGATCATCAGAGAAACTTGAGAGTCTCTGGAGGAATCTGCAGAAATGTAGCAAGACAGAAATAAAGCCAGACTTGCAAGCCTTCAGCTGTTCAAGCCATTCTGAGTTTCACAGAACGTTTTGTACAAAACCCCCTCTTTTTAAAAAACAATAAAAAGTAAAGGTTGAATCTGCACTCCTTGTGAAGTACAGGTTCCAGCAGCATTCACTGCAGTGTAGCTATTTAATGCACGTGATAATTGACTTGTATCTCAATTTACTTATCCATGTACCTAGGCCACTTGTGATGTTTCAGGGAGTTTCCATTTTCAGCTGTCCCTATAAAGACACAGACTTCTTTACCAGTTCTGTTGCCAGCTGAGGGAGCCGTGTAAAATTTGAAGGGGTCTTAAACCTGCCCCTGTTTTTTTTCCCTGTTGCTACCTCAAGTAGAAGAGCATTGCCAATGGATCTGGGAAACAAGAAGGTTTCAGTGGGTGGAGTGGGGTGGACTTTTTACTCTAATCTGGACAGTGTTCTTCTGATCTGTGGGAAAGCCAAGAGTAATTATTCTAACACAACATGCTTACAAGAAGTGGGGAGGAAATATGCCAAAATAAAATATTTATGATTTAAAAATAGAGTATAGCCTTGCTTATGAAACACCGACATTTGCCTTTAACCTCATATGGAAGTTACAATGAAACTATATAATCCTTGATGAGAGGAAAAAACTGTTCTTCTGAGGCTTGTACAGCATCCAAACCAATAATTTAATCCCCAGGCCCTGACCTCTGAATCTGACAGGTAAGGCATGGAGCTCTTGCAGCTGGATCTGCTGGTCCTAAATTCCTGGACCTGGGTTCCTCCACATTAGATTACAAGACCCAGTGACGTGGCAGTTCAGCAATTTCTTCATGAGCTACTGTGAAACGGCACTCTTTTGAGGTGTGATGTAAAAACAGATTTCACCATCCTTCCCTTAGTTGACAAACAGGGTCAGATTTTTTCCTCCACTCTCTCCCTGGTCCTGGGAAATGAAGGTGTATGCACCCTCCTTAGCAAGACCGCGGTGGTGCAGGAGGTCAGCCAGCTCCCTGATGAGATTTCTGCTGTTAACTGCATGTACCACACTCAACCAGAAGCTCCAGTGCAGCCGTCAACCTAACTAGGTTCAGACAAACAAATGTTTCTCCAGCTCCATCCAGTGAGAGTGAATCCTCGTGGTGCTAAGCAGATAAGAGCATTCCCCAGTTCTAAAGCCCAGGTACTCAAGAATGAAGTTAGACCACGAGCCTTAGGGAATCACAGCTCCTTGCTGCAGCTTCAAGCATCAAGAACTGTACATTAAATTATAGCACCAGTAGCCAAACTGGGTGAGAACAGACTCCATATAACTAATGCAACACTATGGATGCTTTGCACACTATCATCTATCACAGCTTTGCTATCTAGTTCCAACCTTTTCCAAAGCCTAAAAGAAACAAACTGAACTTTCAGCAGCATCTTAAAATATTATTCCCTTTCCTGGACTTTAAGGAGGGCACCATGCATGAAAGAACTGGGAAAAGGTCATTTATATATTCTACCAGCAGCAGCAGAAAAAGGCTTACGGTGTTTGCACTTGGGGGCTCAGCACAGGAGTGAAAAGAAAGTCTCGGAATGTCTGCTAAAACAAACAGCTAGGGGTCATATTCAAGGCAGCATATTTGAAACAGATGGGAGTAAGGAGAGGGACCCCTCAAAAGATGCAGGGTCCAACTGTCTGTTCTGGTTACCCACCCAGAATCCCCTCAAAAGTGGCAATAGCATTAGAATGCAGTTTCACTGGCTGTTTTAATGTCACCCTTGTTCCACAGGTCAAGAGTCATCCAAGAGACTGGCACCTGAAAAGATTCAGGCAATTCCACTGGTACAGATCATCCTCTAAGAAATAACAGGACATTGGGTGCTTTATTAGCTTTTGTAGTCCTACAAGCCTGTTTGTGAAGATTAACAAAACCTAAACACTCCGAATTTTCACATGGTATGTAGGGGCCAGTGAGATGCACACAGCCAAATTCTTTTAGGCCTGCACCCAGAAGCTGACAAAAGCAGAGCTAATCTTTGCCTGCATCAGTTAAGCTGGGCTGCACTTGAGGAAGCACACAGGGCAGCAGTGCAGGTATCACAAAACAGAATAGCTCTGCTGCTATGGTAGTTGGAACAGTTTGTATGAGAGAAAAGCTTGATCTTCAAACCACTTACTTAGAAACGATGGCCATCCCCATGGCTTCATCTCCTTTATACAAGCAAACTGAGAAGTAAAAGCCACTTTCAGGAACAGGAATAACTGCTAATGATTATTTATCCACCATTTCCTACAAGCTTCCCTTGACGATTGTACTTGAAAAACTAGCACTTATTTCTGCATTCTGCTAGCCCAGAACTTAGAAATCCATTCCCTCAATCCATGCACCAAGCAGAAAGGTACCATTTTATTATTACTGTGATCTGCCAGCAATAAACTTTCAGTCCTTTTTTTTTTTCATGTGTTAACAATGATCAGCCACCCAGTTACTTTCACAGAAAATACAAGCAGCATTTTTTTGCCAAGAACAACTTCTAAATTAAAAATACCTTCAGGTAATTCCATAAAACATTAAAGACATCATAAATAAACTTATTCTAAAAATCACTTTCCAAACAATAAATAAAACTCTTTCTTATTTGAAAGTGCAAACAGGCTGCATTATAAAAAACACAGAGCGAGACTGAAGAAGTGCTTAATTATTCAATAGTGACCAAGACACAGTTTCTTGCTTTGGTGCTGCTGGTCATCTAGTGATTTTGTTTTCTGGACCCCATCTGAAGAGAAAAAAATATTTGTGAAACATTAATACAATAGTAAGTGTAGTCTAAATACTCAACACATACAGGCCTACTGGAATAACACTGGGGACAGGGAGGGAGACAGAGATTGTCTTCTTTCCCTTACAGAGGAACATACTAAGGAAAGACAGCAACTTGTACCAGTTCAGTGTTGAAATGCAAGCACACCATCTTGAAGAAAACATTGTTAGAGAAATGAACCCTATTAAGGGTGAATCTTTCTCCAGCTGGGTCTAAAAACCATTAGGAGTGATTACTAATGCCACACACACCGCTCTGAGCCCTTCTCTCGCCCCTTTTCCTGAGCCCATGATGGAATTGCTAACAAAGAGACAACTCCACTAATCTAGTTCACATTAGGAATTAGCTTGTAGTATGTGGTTATTCATGTGCTACAAAACCCACCTTCAATCTTTTTATGCTCCTAGCCTGGTACTCAATTCTTTGCCTAACTGCCAGCTCCCTATCTTTACGCTCCCTATCTTTGTGCTTGAGGCACAAAAATTATTTAGCTTCTTTTTCCACATTATTTTCCCCTCTGGATGAGAAACATTTTAAGCATTGGTAGCTGACAGTAGATGCCAATGGTGCATCCCTTCTGTAGCACAAAAAGGCTTCAACATAAGGCTCATCCAAACTCTGTTTCAGAAGATGACAGCTCCCTTGCTACAGGGGTGCAGGTCAACAAGGATTTTTTGACCTTTCTATTATATATGTGTACATAAACACACAAAAATGTTGATTGAAAAGCACTGACATAGATTCTACTTTATAAAAGAAACACTGAAATGTTCTGCAGAACATACTTAAATAACTTGGAGGAGTCCAATTTCTCTTGAAAAAGAATGGCACTCCTCATAGAACACAGTATAAAAAGTCTTCATAGAACAAAATCTAAAACCCCATACAGTAGTCTGAAATTATCTATGTGTCAAACAGCATATTGTTGACCTTGATAACAGCATTACTAGGTTTTGTAATGCGTGTGCCAGTGCCAAGCATTTGTTAAAACACGCTTGTTTTCAACTGACTATTAGTTCATCTATTAAAAAAGGTCAGAGAAGTTTTCACAGCAAAAATTAACTAATTGAAATCAAGAATAACTAAGACTAATTGATTCAGGTTTGTTTAAAATGTGATCTCACCTACTGACTTCAGCCGTAACATGAAATAATGAAAAATACTTACTTTCCCTGGCTGTGGGGTCATGGAATTCAATGGCATTGGTGTGCAGTGGATTTAGTTGCCACTGGTAAAAGAAGAAGAAAATATTTACTTATTCCAGAAGACAGAAGAAAGAGCAAAGGGAGAAAGATAAAGTACCCCTCTGTTCTTCACTGTAAGGCATGACTAGGGGTGAGGCAGGGAATAAAGGACTCCACCTCCAACACACACTTTGCAAATAAAAAGCCATTAAGGGATGTGGGGCCATTTACTCCCTTGAGAAGGGGAAATGAGCTTGCTCAGACCAACAGTGCTGTTGTTTGTCATGGTGAGCGCTCTCAATGCAGATGCACTTGGCCACCATCAAAGCCCACTGCAGCTCTTTGGGAGCTGCTGGAAGGGCCTATGTAATCACACAGTGATCTCCCACATCAGCTGTTGTGCTGTAACATGGAGGCTTGGAGAGAACCTCAGTGTGAATAGATCACCTCAAACAACAACGAGTTAGAGGGAAATGGGCAAGGCAATTGCAAAAAACAGGCACACTTGGCCCCACCATCTGGCACATGGCACAGTGCTTGTCCCCAGTGTCAAAACACAGCAACCTCTCAGTTCACTCACTTGACTAAACAGCACAAGAGAACACACCGCTATGCTGGCTGCATATAACTGCTCACTCCCCCCTCCCCCCAATGCTGCCCAGAGCTTTTAGACTGTAGTTCATTTGGACACTTACTGTAAATTTGCTTACACCCTCAACTTCACCAAACTTCATATAGGATATGTCTGCTTTCTTTTTTCCAGCATCAACATCTCCTGCATAGATCTGCTTGATACCAGCGCCTTTGATTAAAGGGACACATTCATCACATGGACATTTTGTCACAAATATCATGCTTCTCTCATCTGGCTTTATTTCCCGACACCTACAGGCAGTCAAGAACAGAGTTTCAGATATCTTGATAGTTTTTAATGGTGACAAACTTCATACCTCACAAGAGCAAGCAAAGAAGTGGTGTGTTATGTGATTCTATGCTTCTATGACCTACTCCAAGAAGCCACTTATTCCTAATGAAGTACACAAATACACAGTGATGACTAGTTTGGTTGTGAACAAACCACCCATCCCACCTCTCCACGTGTATCGTTGCTGAAGCCTCAGCAATTGCCACGCTTTCGTATTTCAGGTTACAGCATGGTCCTAGCAGGAAACAGAGGCAGTGGCTTGTATCTGGACAGCTGCCATGCATCGGAGTGAATATCCTTTAAAAACCAAGTTAACTTAAGAAGTCTGAAGAAACCCCAGAAGCTGACTGTGTCCATGCACATCCAAGTTCTGCATCACAGGCATAAGCAAGACTGTGATTGCAATCCACATTTCATCACAGTGACATCATGCATTTGCCATGGAATTGTTTCTGAACCATCTCATTCTTCTCTGTGGTAAAAATAAGCCCATTACCTGAATGTTAAGGCATTCTGCTCCGCATGTATAATGTATCTGAACTTTCTGATTTCCCGATCTTTTTGTTTATCATCCATGTGTGGAAAATCAGCATATTCAGATCCAACAGGAAAGGCATTGTAACCACAGCCTACAAAATACATTGCTCCCGTTCCATCACAGCTTCTCTGCAACAGTAAGCAAACCATTAAAGTAGGAGACATTTACACTGAGTATTAAGTCAAAGTGTTGTGCAATGTATACTTTCACAGTTTATGCCAAGTTACGGCAGTTACAAAGAGAACTCAGCTCTTGCTGACTGCTCTGTGCCTATATGGAGCTTTTCCACTAAACTATAACACTGCGCACAACGCACTGCACCAGGCTTTAGGGCCTTTCCTTTTATCAGGTGGTAGTGATAGCAGGAGCAAAAAGTAGGAAGGATTCAGTCCTTGAGCTTTTCTGCAATGTACAAAATTGGAATTAGTTCCTGATGTGCCAGAGACTGTGCTTCACCTTTCTCTCAACAGACTCAGTGACCAAAGGGCTGTCCAAGTAACAATCAGTGACTGAAATCTGGACAAGAAAGAAAACAGCAATGAGCAGCTGATGACTGAGTGTTAAAAACCAACGAAGAGTATTGCAGCTGCATGAAGAATGAGGCTCCCTAGGACTGGTAACATGCATAATCAGAGGCATGAAGGAATAAAAACTTTATGCTTGGATGGAAAAAGCACAGTTACAGTATTTGTAGAAAAATAGCACTTTGATCCAAAAAGAAACGTGCTAAAGCCGCTGCGGCATTTCAATGGCAACAAAAATCCTTCAGAAATTGTGAGGCTTGATTGCACTGAGAGCTCTCCAAAATAAAAGCTGCAAAGAGGGACCTGCAGAACAGGCACATGCTGCCTGATCAGCAGATGTGGCAAAACTCTGTAGCCAGGACACCTGGAATAACTGACAATGGCCAGGGAAGCAGGCACACCGGAAAAATAAGCAGAGACACTGTGGTAGTTACTGAACTCATTTATACATCCCCTTCATCTTGACAGCATTATCAAATAAGCAGTCATTAACTCAGTTACTAAAGAATGAGATTTCTATAGTGCTGTGTGCGTGTACGAAAAATGCACGTGCAAGAACTTAAAAATAACGGCTCAAAGCAGATAGAAGTGTATGAATTGTGAGTGCAAGAAAGAGTAACTTTTTCAATACTTACTGATTTTTCTTCTGCCCAAATAATAGCTCCAACTCCTGTTTTATGGTCCTCTAAAATACATAACATTTTAGCAGCAAATAATAAATAAACCACTTCTGAGTTACCTATACATTAACATATGACATCCTAGAGTAAGGAATAATATTCATTGTTGATTCATGGATAGGAGAAAAGAAATGCAGAAAAATTAAGAGCTTCTAAGTCATACAAGTCTACTGCAAAAGCTGGGTGTACTTTAACTGCAAGGCCAGCCATTCAACACTGCTACATACATTTGTTCACACATGCTAAGAAGCAACCACATTTATCACGTAAGAATATGTGTGCCAAGAATATATGTGGACAGGTTCACATGTGAGATGGCAAACTGATAAAAACCTTCCAGCTGTTTACCATTTAATTACTAATTTTCTGCCATTCCTTAAGTTTATGGCTCTGTGGTCTGAAATACTATCAAAATTAGTTATATTTTATACCTAGTTCAGAGATTAAATGTTAATAATTGTATTTTGGGGTGTGTTTCCTGTCACCACCACAGGAAAACCAGAACATAACTTTCATTATGTGACTTTGAAGATTTTCATGGAACTTGGAAATCTTCCCCAGTAGCTACTGGTGAGTCTAGACCAGTAAAAACTGAGCTATCAAGCAGAAAAAATGTTTCAGGTTTCCAGTGACACAGAAGACAATTAACTATTTCCATCATCCTTGGTATCACTAACACATACAGTCACCTCAAAGAAGATCCTTCCTCCCAAAGATATATTTTATGAGGGCTGACTTTATATTCTGCATACTTATTAGTCACGCATGTATTTTAAGCCAGCATAGAAAACATCCTGTAATAATGCAAAGCACCTAAATATGTGTGTGTGTGCTGTTTATTTATTTTAATTTTATCTCAGGACTAAAGTGAAGTAAGAGTTTGCTTAAAACCCAGACCCGAGTGCAGGCTGAACAGCACAAGTAAAACTGAATTTTGCTGCCTCAAGAATGAATAGTCAAGTTTGGTCATTCCATTGTGCTCTGTACAACAGTAGATGTACTAAAAGCCCTCACAACCGGTTCCATGAAACTTCTAAATTATTTCTGACAATGCCATCTCTTCTGCAACTTTTGGTGACCAAATTCACAGAGGGTATCCAGGGAAAAAAAATAAAGCTTTAAATATGTAATATTTATTTGTTTACAAGAGTTTTAAAAAAGCAACTGTCCTATCTAGATGAAAAAAGCCAACATTAAGGAGTACTAGCAAGTTTTAATTCTTCATGTTCTGTTCTCTGCAAGAACGTACCAGTTTACTACATCGCTACCCAGACAGAATAAAGTAGCTAATGGGAGTCATTTGTATCATCAAAAGATGGTCAATAACTATCCTTCTACCCAAAAAGCTTCTACATCAAAATTCCAGCATCCCTGCAAAGAAACCCCTCATCAGATACAGAAGCACTTTCACTAATAAGATTAGAACTAGGAAACTTAGATAACTGTACTTAATGCCTTACTTGAAAGGCCATTGTTCCACTCCTTTTTTCTGAAGAAGTGTACATAATCTGCTTGAAATATTGGCATGTATTGGATAACAGAAGCATCTTGTCAAGCCACAGTAAAAAGAGCCTCAGAGCAGCTTGAAGAATTTAAATGCCATTGTAGTCTTTTTTCCAGATAGGTGTTGGACATGTTGGCAGGGCAGGATTTCCTAAATACCTGCACTGGTTTTCTCTTGGAAAGCTTTCACACACAATGCTATGTACCCCTGTGGAGTTTTTATTATTACTGCTGCTCCAGTTTCACAGACATAGAAACAGAATTCAGCAGCTTGCTCAAGGAATTGTTTGGAAGAATAAGACTGAAATGAGGAACTCGCTCTATTCATGAGACCCATTCTTCCTGCAGCACTGTAACAACTCACCTGTCCGGTATGCGAGTAGTCTGGCTTGTATCATACAGTGCCTTGCAATTTCTTGGGGCAAACTCTGATGGTCTGTTTCATTTGTTCGTTGCGATTCACTGTTGTAAAATCCAAAGCATCCAAAGACTGGGACACTGGCAGCCACTGTTGCCAAGACCAAGACAAGATCTTTCATATTTTGCCTTAGGTTGCTGAAGTACGGATTTTCACAGAGGTTCTCCAGTCCCATTGTCATCAATATTTTCTTGTGCATTTCCTCATTTGAAATTAGGAATAAACTTTCATACTCTTTTATTCTCTCTTGTCTACATGCAGTGTAAAAGTCAGTATTAGAGTCAGGCTGAGATTTTACTATTTTTTGAATAAAATCAAACTCGGTGGAAGTTTCTTCAACAAATTGCACCATGGAGCACCCCAAGGGCTGAAGCAGCACGCAAACACGAGCACGACTATTTGACTTCAGTCTTTCTACTGCTTTGGCATCTAGCTTTGCATCATCTGTAGTCATGGGATTGGACGCCTCATTCTGCAAGCTGATTTCAGGATCTGCAGGCCAGTAAGAAATCCTGTTGACCCCAGCTGGAAGAGAAGATAATGCAGCAAAAGGAACCATACAAGTACAGTGGAACATAAACCTCATATTCAACACTATTGCTTAACCCTGGTTTTACTCCTTTAAGGCCCCAAGTGCTGCTTAAGGGCTGTCTAGACAACAAAAATGCTAGTAGATACGACTGTCAAGAGGTTATCTAACTTGGTAATCAGGCAGCAGACAAAAATTGGATTTTCCTAAATTCTAAGATTTTTTGTGACAGTCTAATTTTGCATCTTAACTATACCAGATATATTAAACACCACACAAAAAAGCTAGCACTAACAGAAGTGGCTGCTGAGGTTAAAAATCAATGCTTGCAGAAGGGTTGTGCCAGCAGATCCCATTTAAGGAAGTGAATAATCTGACTTTTCTTCATCTCACTTGGGAAAAGGAAAACCTAAAGCACTCCCCGTGACTTCTGCATAAAAGACACCCTTTCTCTGTTGCCACTGACAAGCAATGGGAAGGCAAGGACAAATGTAGCTATCTAGGCCTAATCATCAGGCTTAGGGTTGGTTGCTTCAGCAAACTGCAACTGGTATGTCAGGATCTCAGCAGTGCATCCCAACCAAGAGACAAGCACCCCCAGTAGTAATAGCTGCACAGAGAAATAGGGTCTCAGTAGCAAACCCTTATCTGTTGATCTTCAGCTCCAGGGAAATGTACATTCAATAGTGTTTTCAGCCTTGTGGAAAATATCAGTGCAGGCCACACAAGTTAGGGATTTGCTTTCACAACTGGGACAGTCCAAAGAGAAAACAGGCTTTCTGACACCACCAGTCACAAGCATAACATTTACCCTTAATCTACTACAGTCATTGCTTACCATTTACGATCATTTTTAAACAAGTTGAACATGGTTTTCTGGAGAAATAAAGATCACAGTTTTTAAGTCTTGATCCATGTTTTATGAGTGCAATCTGGCCAGCATGCAAGTCTGTACTGGAACAATGAAGACCAACAATCTTCATGTTTTTTACCACAACTAGGCCACTCTTCTTCACCTACAGAAAAATGCATTGCTATTATTATTCCTTTCTTTCAACATCAAGTCCATAGCAATGTTACAGCTCTTCCTTAGGTAACAGTGACCAACCAGGATTAGAGTATATGGCTCTTCACTACCAACTGTGATATGAATCATTAAACAATCTCTGTTAATACTTCCCTAAGCAGTATTTCTCCGTGTGTGTGTAGTTTCAACATGTGCTTTTTAATATCAGAGTGCTGTGCCCTGTCAAACTTCGAACAGGGACTTGGAGCAAATTCCTGATTTTTTTTGGTCATTGCTTTGCCCATACCAAAATCCAGGAGCAGCACAGAAAATTCTGTCGATTATAGCTGAAAAACCCTCTGAATCATCCAGCATCTGGAAACGCTATCAATTTAATTTCTGTCTTCAGCTTGACCATCCTGGGAGACAATAGCTTCTTTAGCTTTACTTCTGTCTTTTCATTTCTAGAAATGAATCCTAGTTCTAAAGAATATTCCATGGAAAAAGTCTACATACCATAAACGACAGCTCTTACATGTGGATTCCCATGTATTGTAAGGAAACTGGAAACAAGCCAGTTTGATGAAACTGGTGAAACTTCAAACTATGCAGATTATACAGTTTGGCTGCTACCAGAACACTGTCACCTCGGATCTGTAAATTACCCAATTTCTCTGTGGTTACAGAAATGAGGCTGTACTAAAGCCCTACAGATACCCAAGTGCCATTCCTAACTGAATTACTAAATTTGAAATTGCTTTTGAAATCTGTATAGTGACAGACCTAATCTGTAGATATAGGTATAGACTCATCTATACCTCTTTCAGACATACCAAACTGTGAAAATGAGGCCTGTCACTCAAATTCTTTTCCTATCTTTTTGTGTCCTGGCTGATCCATGTGCTATGGATCTTAGCACATGGCTATGCTCTGCACAAAGTAGTAATCACAGTAAGAACTCTGATCACAGAAGAAAACATGCTGTTCCAGGACACTCTGAAATGTCCTGGCTGCTATTTAGCAGATGGTTTCTTTTCACTGTGACTAAGGTAGTTATCTGCAAGTTCTTGATCAGCAAACATTTCAGATAGTTCTGTGCACTTCCACTCTGTAAGAGAACTCATCTACAAGCAATTTTTAGCATTTGCTTCAGCTGCGAGGGGTACACCTTGCCTTTCAAAGTTTTTCAGAAGTAGCTATTTAACCATTCTGCTATTTTTCTCCCACCACTGGATTTTTTTCTGCTTCCAAGAAATAATTTAAAAAAGCTATTATCAGCAAATTTGTTTGGTTTTGGTGGTTTTTTTCCTCTGAATTATTTGTCGTGTAAAGAGCAGTTATGTTACATTCACTGTAGGAACTGTTCAGAAAGACCAAGTAAGCATAGACGTTTTACCTGTGATTTCTTCTGTTGCTCAGTCGAAGGGAAGAGCTCCATCCAGAGGCTGAACAAAGTAAAAAGATTGACTTTAGAAAGTCTTGGCATTTGACCTGTCATTAGAAAAAAAAAAAAAAAAAAAGAAATACTTATTAAAGAATATTTATAAAGATACCCCACATCGTTGTTCTACACCACAGCTGCTACAGAAGCTGGTTCATCAACCACTTCTGCTATTTACAGCAGCTAAGTCCACACTGTCTTCTTCAGGGCAGCAGTTGCCAACTCAGAATGCTCACATCTGGATGCAGAGCTTAGATATGTGCAAGAAGAAAAAGTGACAAAACTTTCACTGAAATTCACTGAGTTAATTCGGCTCAGAGGTGAAGAGCAGAAACCAAAGATCAGATCCCACATAACTTAGTGTTTAAACGACTCACAAATGCTTACAGAAATCTCAGACACAGCTTCTGATTCAGCTTCAGGCTCACCACAGATGAGAGCAAAAACATCCAGGCATGCATCATGATCTTACAGTGACACCCACAGCAAGAGTGGATGAGCCACTGTGAAACCTTCCAGTTACATCTGTTCTGCAGAAGCCTACTTTTGGATTTTTAGCCTGTTCAAATTTTGGTTAGAGTTTAAAAAAAAAAAAATTAAACCTATTTCTCATGCTGTCACTTCTGACTAAATAACCAAAGGGGTAGCAAAGAATCCTTTCTCAGCCCACCACCTTGTGCTGTGTTGTGCTTCTGCTCAAAAACTGGACATGCTGAGGGCCAGTGCTCAGCATTACTGAGTATCCCACAACTGAAAATGGAGGAAGTGCTTGCACCATTCCAGATGTAAAGCTGTCTTGCCTCACACTTGGCAAGAAGTTTAATTACATCTTCGAAAAAGCTCCAGTCCCTATTTCAGGGGTGCTTACAGGAAGCTGTAACAAACACGTATTCCTCTGCAGGTCTCAGCTGTGCTGGACAGTAGTTTTATTTCTGTTTTTATCCCTTCCCACAAATGTTAAAGCTTTTGCAAATGAGGAAGAGACAGAGGTAAGAACAGAAAAGAGAAAAACATTTCTTTACGCAGTTCCAGTAGTTAGGACAAGATACAATCAGATACTAAGACTGCTTCGGTGGGGGAGAAGGTTAATTTAATGACATGTCTGTGAACCCAAACAATTAGGATGGCAGATAAACATGCAGCCCATGACTGGAGTACCATTTTCAAGCAGTATTTTAGCAGGCTTTTTTTCAGACAGAAGTGTGATTTTGGAAAGCAACTATAGACTTCTCAGCAGCACCAACTGATGCCATGCTGTCCACTACTCCTTAGGCTGCCCAGCTACACTCTCCCACTGTGCACAAGCACTGCAAGGGGCACTGGTCAGCACAATCAGATATGTGTGCTAGAAACGCACATGGCACACATGAAGACTTGTTGTTACTTGTCTGAGAAACAAACTGTAAAAGTAAGTCTCCAAGCCACATCTAAACAAGTAGATTTTTTGTCTTAGTCATTCTCATTACAGCCCCTGTTCAGTCCTGTTGTGGCACATACAAGCACACTTCCCAAATGGCAAGCTAAAATAAACAGTGCCACTGATACCAAGTCACATGTATACCGTCATGTTTTCTAAATTGGATTACGATTTGGCATACGGAGTAGATTAAAAACAGAATACACCAGAAACAAGTCTGAATTACTGTTTGTTTTCTTGGACCTAATCTGAATGTGACCTGCCAAACACATGGGAAACAAAATGAAGAATATACCTGTTGTGAACTGACATGAATTTACAACGAGAAGCAGGAGGATATTATGATGAAAAAATAAAGACCTGTGGTCACAGTTACCATATCTATATATCCACACCTTTATTAACTTAGTTAAAGCTTCCCTTAAGTTCAACAGAGTGAAGAGTATACTGATCAAAGTGGCTTGGAAATAAGGTAAAAGACATCTTACAGAATTTAAAGCAACTAGAGAAGATTGGGGAAGAAAAGGAATCAGGTTCTTTGCTACTGAGAGCAAAACTGCCTACGAACAGAGAGCTCTTTCAAGGTCTCCACAGATTCCCTGCTTTACACAGCTTCTCTGCTTAACACAAAGGTATGATTTTATTCCTCCACCTTAGGGATCTCACCCCAGTGAGGCAAGGCAGATTCAAGGGAGAGTGGTCTGTGAAGGCCAGCATGGAAAACCCTGCCATGCCTGCACCTGCAAGCAGAAAGGAGCAGGGCACTGCCCATCCGGACATGGCTCAGACAAAAGATTATGCCATAGTTGCAACATATGAGTCTCTAGTGCAAAGTCTGAAAGAAGTCACGTTACAAGCACGGAACTAGTACTGTGCTTTGACATCATCAAGGAGGAAATCAGTGACATCACTCCTGTCTGGGGAAAGTAAATGAGAAACCATTTTCAGAGTTCATCTTCTTCACTCACTTGAAAACAGGATTTTCACAAAACTAGGATGACACCCCCCCATTTACTCATCGAGGAGACCCCGTCGTGGTCCTCAGTCTGAGAGCTATGCATACAGCCCATAGGCGATCTGTATGTATACCTCACTCTGCTGGGCCTGCAGAGATGAGATATATATGGATGTGGAATCTATCAAAATCTGCTTCAAATCAGAGTCCCCTTGTGAGAAAGGGGATCTCTCATCTGCCTACTGAGAAAGTTGCTCTCTACTAGAATTCACGGGCCTAGTACAGACACCCCTCAGAAGGCAAGCATTTTAATGCAGACTGCATTTCATACACATTAAATATAAACGGTACAGACCGGGAATTTTGGCAGGAGAGGAAACAGAACACAAGCATACGTGATCAGAAGGCCCTATGACTAAGAGCACAGGCAAGCAGGGGGCGGGGATACTTTTATTGCCCTGTCTGTAACGGGCCGGAGCACCCTATGAAATAGCAGTTGAGGGGGTCCGAACAGCCCCGGGGAGGGACGAGCCTCACAGCGCGCCGAGGGGAGGACACACCGGGCGTTTCGAAGCACCCGATGGGCAA